GCGCATCTCTGTCCTTGTTTGACCTTCCATTCAACGGTGACAGCAGCACGTCGAGAAACAGCGGTTTCATCACCACGAACGCCAGCCACTTTTAGGAGAAAACCTATTTTCGGTCGACCGTGTTTCAGACCATAAGGCTTCCGAGAACAGCAACTGGCCTATGCCAAGTGTACTACTGGCTGTAGACAGCAGGTGGCGCTTCAACAACGAAACAAGTACGAAAGCCCTCTGATCCACCCTGTTTATACTCCTGGAACAGCACGACCTCCCTCAAGTGAAAGTACGCACACAGCAGTTAGTCGGGGCGCGGGTTCAAACACGGCACGAAACCAATACTTCAAGTGCTCCTTTGTCATCCATCGGCGAAGGGTTGCTGTTGTGAGCGTTCCAAACGCAGAACGTACGTACTACGGTGCGCCGGGACCGATCCGCGTGATCTCTATGCTCGTCGTGCCTCATCCACGAATCAGACTCTGACCCAATCCTTTCCTCCGCACGCCCACTGCTGCCTGTAGGTGCGACGCTTGGCCGCATTTTCATTTCTACAGCCCCAGAAAGAGAATGAGCGAGCGTTTGCTACAGGATGACCACCTGGTTCGAATATGTATGTTGATATGTTGATTAGACGACCATAGCATAATAGGAGCAGCGCACCATGTCATGACGCGGAGGGCTATTCCGTTGGTGTATGCGCGTTCAACGCATGCAACCAACTGCTGTGGACATCCCGTATTTGCAGCTGTACAACACAAGCCCATGGATGCGTTGATGGAATGCAGTACAGCAGTACATGCGCTAGGGACAGAGCATACCGCCCCTTAGGCGCTGGGTCCGTGTGCCATGCGCGCTCTTCTGGGGTAGACTTGATTGGGGGTGTGGGTAACCGGGCGGGGGGTTGTCGGAGTATGACAACCTCGATAAGTAGGGGTATAGGTTGAACCCAGAGAACCTTGCTTGTGTCAGTGCTCGCTGAAGCAGGAGGTACACTGCCAGTGGCAAACAAACCATCACCTCTCTCCCGCTTCGCCGAGGACGCGCGACTCCCACGGGCGGTCAACAAGGACCTCTGACAAGACGAGAAGCTCAGCAAGAAGCAAGCTGCGTTCTCTTTCCATGTGGAAAGCAGGAGGAGCGCTGTCGAAAAGTTCAAAACACCAACCAACACACGCAGCAAGATACCACGGGCAAGAAATAACAACAGGCCACACACCACGTCTCCTGGGAATCAGCGCCATGCTCTACACGGCGGGCTCTCACCGAAGCGAAGGATCCACGCCCCAGCGGCTCCGTCTCCACGGAGTACTGCAGCGCCCATTCGCGCAGCGCTCTTCCGTGAGCATCGGTACCGCTGCTGCTGCTGCTGCTGCTGCGAGTAGGCGAGTCACGTTGTTGCGACATCTCTCGTCGCCGTCGTAGGAAAAAAGACTCGCCGCGTTCTTGTCCAGCTTTTTTACCAGTTCCCTCCAGGGTGCGGCGCAGCAGTAGCTGCTGCTGTTGCTGTTGCTGCTGAAAAAATAAAAGGCGGGGTGCTTGAGCTACTCCCGCCTCTGGACTATCTCGCGGTGTGCGCTGGCATGAAGCGCTTGTGGCTCCAAAGCCTTGGCTCCTGATGATCGACGGAGCCGAGGTTGTTGCAGTACAAAAAAATAGCAGTGGTTCAACGTGTCGCGTTTTCAGCGAGCGAAAGCTCCGATGCTCGCAACACTTGACCGACCCCCTACCCCTCCCCTCAATAGATACCCTAGTGGCTGCGAGGGAGAAGGAGCCCCGGTCTCTTGGTACTGTTGATCGGGGCAGGTTCCAGTAGAGCAGGGTATGACAGTGTTGTTGAGGTGTGTAGGTGGTGTGTTCGTGAGCTTACATCGAAAGCACAGGTGAGGTGGATGGGATGGAGACCGGCTACTTGTATTGGCGTCGCCACCCGGACCTACAGCGTGTTTACTTCTTTTTTTTTTTCCGGGGAGGTCATTCCTGTTGGCTCACAGCGCACCGTAGCTATTTAGCTTAGCCGTTGCTGTGCAGTGCACAGAGTTGGGGAGTTATATCAGAACCAATGAGGCAGGCGAGCGTGGTCTGCTTGGGTGGTGGAGCTTCGGTCATTCAACCTCAATCTGAACCGAAGTCTTTCACCATATTTTTGAATTTTTCGCAACACAACTACCGCACCAAGAGTACTCCATCTATGCATATCGAGACTAGTCTACAGCCAGTAGCGGCGCGAGCGAGACTAGATACAGCGGTTGTTGTACAATTTGCATAGACTGGTAGAGTAGTGCCGGCCGCTCGTCGAAATAAACACTTCCTGAATTTTGGATAATGCTCAAAGTCTTACGTTGCCGCAGTCGATTGTGGCCGTGTTCTTGTTTTTCACCATATGACCGACACACACACGGCATCCTTATCTTATTACTGAATCTCGAGTGCCGACAGGTAGATACAGCAGTCTGAACTACGTAGGAACCAACTCTTTTCACAACAACAACGTGGAAGTACCAGACTTTCATTCTTGCCGCAACCGCCCTCTCCATACTGTTTTGCGCACCCATGGCACTCGATACAACAGCAGCTGTATCACTAGATACATCTCCATTTGGATTTGAAATCGTGAATCTGTCTCGCTTTCGGTCGTCCCCATCGGAGAGCTGATTGTTGTTGGTGATCCGCGCCCTGGTACGTTCCCGGTGTGCGTGCTCATTTCCACACCCCTCCGCCAACTCGACGCTAACGTCCATCGGCTCAAGCATCTCCCATGCTCTCCTACAGCTGCGTGGCACCTCGTCTCCGCTTTGCGCAAATCAAGAGGCGACCGAGCTGATGGTCTTTTGAAACATGTCAAATCACTTGGCAATGTGGCTAGTGTGTGGGAAGCTGGCCGGCCGATCTGCCATAGGAACCACAACCCAAACCAAGCCTCAAGAACACAAAACGCGTTTAGTCAAGGCCCGGTCTAGCATCGCTGGAGGGCGCTCCGGAAGACGAGCAAATCCGTCCGGAAGCTGCAGGTGGTAATGAGGTTCTTATGGGAGTTGACGTCATCATCGCTGTCTCAATCTGTGACACGGAGTCACGAACGTTGCCGAGAGGATCACCCATGTAGTGAATGCAAGGACAGAGGATGGTGGGGAAAACTAGGTGACGTACAGAGCAGGCCCACAGGGCCCGGCTAAGAAGTACAACGGTGGACGAGTAAGGATGGCTCGACGATTGTAACTCACCTTCACAGTCGAAGCCTGAGTCGCTGTCTGAGACAAGTACCCCCCCCCCCCCC